AACCCATGGAGCGTATAAGGGACCTCGGTTATCAGTTCCTCAACTTTAACTCTTGGTTGAGGCTTTCCAGAAATGAAAAATGGAGAAGTGGGACCACTATTTGCCTATCTGCACCCTTTCTAAAGGTGAAACATACTCCTCATATCATTTACCGAGGGTAAATCCCACCCCTTCTCGGCAAATAAAACTAAGAATCCTATTACTCGTTTCCAAGTATTGGGAGTAATTTGACATAAGGCTAATCCCCAGTATCGTAAATATTTTGTAATTATTCGAGGAAGGGAAAACATTAAACCCGAACTCAAACTCTCCGCAAAGACTCCCACACATCCTGGAGGAGGACAAGTAATCCTCTCTCCGGGGTAAGGAGCAAAGAATCTTACAGATAGAGGAACTCTCATATCTTTTCGCAGCAATACGATATTTGCATCCGTTAATATGCTCGACTCCCCTTGAAAATCTAATTCAGGGTCCGGCCATACGCAGGTCGGTCATCTCCAATATTTCTCCGACTCGGCCGCGTCTTCCACGACCTTCTTATCTCCCTCCTTATTATCCAACTGAATATCGAGATGTTCAACGTACAAGGGATCCCACCTATGATAATCCGCCAATAACTCCATTTCTCCCGAAGCCACCATATTCACCATCATTACATCCATATCGTTGTCGCTCGGCGATGCCTACGACAATTTCATATTGACGAGAGTACAAATACAACAGAAATAGAACAGAAAATGGAGTCGACGGTTTTTAAATGCTTACCACACGAAGGGAATCTCCGAATAAAGAATTTGATGCTAATAAGCGAAATCAAAAAGATCAAATGAATTAGAGAATAAAGGAAGTGAAGCACAAGAAATTCAAAGGTGAAATCATCAGTGAGTGCGACTACAATACTTATATTAAACCCTAAAGGTAACCGTTGAAAAGATAAAAAGGGGGGCACGTGACGTCCACCTTTTGTTCCCGCGATTCAGTGCGCCCATTGGAACGTGCGGCTATGATTGACGGCTACGTGGGTGACGGTTTATTTTTATCCGTTGCCTTATTAATGGCCATTATTTTAATCGCCGCAATATCACACCGTTTCAACTTCAAATTCATCTGAGCTAATTTTTCAGCAAGTGCTGAAATGTCAGATAACGGAAGAATGTTAAAGAGAATTACCGACATGTTTAAAGACTTGAGCAACAGACGACATCATACAACATCAACACCCGTTACGATCTAACGTCTGTTGATCCCGGGGGCCACCATGTTGACATAATTTCTCGTAATCTACCTTGTTGACATAATATCTCGTATTCATTAGAGGAGGAGCAATTAAGGTGGTAATCCAACGCTAATTACAGTTCTGGTATAGGCACCTCAATTTCAAGAAGAGTAAAAACCGAGATCATTCTCCAGCGTCAGAATCACCACCTGACCATCCTGTTATCCCAACTGAGATCTATAGATGACAGAGGCCTTTTCAACCGAGGTCTCTAGGAGTTGACTTTCAA